AGACAAATATCATATGACTTCACTCATGAGGAATTTAAGATATAAAACAGATGAACATTAGGGAAGGGAAGCAAAAAGAATATAAAAACAGGGAGGGAGACAAAACATAAGAGACTCTTAAATACAGAGAACAAACAGGGTTGCTGGAGGGGCTGTAGGTGGAGGGGATGGGCTAAATGGGTAAGGGACATTAAGGTAGACACTTGCTGGGATGAGCACTGGGTGTTATACATTGGGGATGAATCACTCGAATCTACTCCTGAAAACATTGCACTATATGCTAACTAACTTTGATGTAAATTAAAAATAAAAAAATAAAAAAGTAAAAATATTTAACTCTTACATCAGGATACTGACCAATCAGAAGAGATAATAGCCATAGAGTGAGAGCAGGGTCCTGAAGGTCCCTGTTAGTTGCTGGGCTGAGGTATAATCTAGGAGGCCTCAGGAGAGGGGGTGAAGCTAGAGGCCACCTAGGGGGCTTGGTGCAACAGCTCTTTAACAAACAGTAAGATATGTATTTGAATATTTTAATACTGGCTATTGGCATACTGATGTGTGCTGGCTGAAAAATAAGCACTGTGTCAGACACAAATTAAGTAATGAATAAACGATTAAGAGCTTTACCAGGTGATAAAATCCTTCCTAGCTCTAATAATCCATAATGTTCATTATATCAGTATTTAATTCTCATGAGCCTCAATTTCTTTACCTACAAAATAGGGAAAATACCAATATTCTTGCTCTATAAGAGACTCACTTAAAAGGAACACAGGAGGTAATCTGCGCAAATATTCTCTGAAAAAAATAACCTGATTCCTTGGTAAGATGAAAGAAAAAGGTCAGGATGTTAAAACAAACATCCATAGGTTTTTAAGCATAGGTATTTAAGAAATTATGTAAATTGCATCAACTCAAAAGCAATCTGACTAGCCCCCGGCAGAAAATAAAAGAAAATCTGAGACAGATTCACATATACATAAATCAAGATACAAAAACTATATTTTGCGATTAGACACGTAGTATTACAGCTTTTCCCAAAAGACTGCCTGTAAGACATTATTTTAATTTGCTAGAGATTTTCATCTGCCAAATAAATGGAGCCCATATGCAGAAGAAAAGACTTATTTCAGTCAAGTTGCACAATATTATATTGACTCATACAAATATCCCATACTATCTAAAAATTTATCCTATATTATCCTCTATTACATAAACCCTAGCTCAAATATGGATTAAAAGTATAATTCCTCAGACTGAAATTACAATTTACTCTTTTATATACAACTAGCCTAGCAAGCTAGCTAACTGAACATTTTAAATTCCCTTAAGTAACATTCTTACCTGGAAATGAGACTGAAATACACAGCAGTCAACACTTTTATAATGTCCCTTAAGCATAGTTATCTGTTCTCCTGAGTAAATTGTATAAACAGCAATGGTGCTACCATATGGCACGAAAACAAATTCTGAACTGCAGCCATCGGAGACAGTGAATTTCAATGCTTTTCTACTGTCATTACAAACTTTTCCATAGTTTACCTGTAGGATGTAAAATCATAGCATTACTCATTTCTTAAATCTGAATTAAAAAGACAACAAAGACTAGAAGAAATATTTACTTAAAATATTATAACATACAACAGAAAGGGTTGTATTAAATCTAAAGAAAATGATCAATGTCCTAATAGAAACAAGGGCCAATGACATAAATGTACATTTCATATAAGAGGAAAATACAAATAGTAAAAAAAAATTCACAAAATCAAAGAATCACAAATTCTGTTCTGTTAAGCCAGAACAGAAATAAAATGCAAATTAAGGCAACCTTGAATAATCATTTTATGATTTAGCAAACATTTCCAGAAACTATGAACTAGGGGTGCCTGGGTGGCTGAGTTAGTTGAGCGTCCGACTTCAGCTCAGGTCATGATCTTGCAATCTGTGAGTTTCAGCCCCACTTTGGGCTCTGTGCTGACAGCTCAGAGCCTGGAGCCTGCTTCAGATTCTGTGTCTCCCTCTCTCTCTGCCCCTCCTCTGCTCATGCTCTGTCTGTCTCCCTCTCTCTCAAAAAATAAATATACATTAAAACAATTAAAAAAAAAAAGAAACCACAAAATACTGCATACTGTTACAAGTGAGATAAACATGTTGGTGGCGCTGTAATTAGGCTATTTCTTCTAAAAGGCCAAACAATTTATTATGCAACAAAATACAAAATGTTTTTTATGGGGGGTGGGGTGGGGAATCACCTTTTTATTTTAAAACATTTTTTTAACGTTTTATTTATTTTTGAGAGAGAGAGAGAGCAAGCAGGGGAAGGGTAGAGAGACAGAGAGCAGCAAAGGGGCAGAGAAAGAGTGAGACAGAGGATCCGAAACAGGCTCCATGCAAATAGCAGAAGGCCAGATGTGGGGCTTAAGCCCAGAAACTGTGAGATCATGACTTGAATCGAAGTCTCACACTTAACTGACTGAGCCACCCAGGTGCCCCTATTTCAAAACATTTTTAATTGTGGTAAAGTACATATAGCATAAAATTTGCCATCTTAACCATGTTTAAGTGTACAGTTAAGTGACATTACATTCACATTCTTTTTAAATTTTTTTTTTCAACGTTTATTTATTTTTGGGACAGAAAGAGACAGAGCATGAACGGGGGAGGGGCAGAGAGAGAGGGAGACACAGAATCGGAAACAGGCTCCAGGCTCTGAGCCATCAGCCCAGAGCCTGACGCGGGGCTCGAACTCCCGGACCGTGAGATCGTGACCTGGCTGAAGTCGGACGCCCAACCGACTGTGCCACCCAGGCGCCCCTTACATTCACATTCTTGTGCAAGCATCATCATCAATCTCTAGAACTCTTTCATCTTGCAAAACTGAAATTCTGTACCCATTAAGCAAGAAAGATATTCTTACCCTTTGACCAAGAAACTACTCCTGGGAATTTATCTTAGGGAAATAATTAAACAGCAAAAACCTATATGCCCAGAGGAATTCAAGGCAGCATTATCTAGAATGGCAAAATAACCAAAAATAGATGTAAATCCCTAATAATGTTATAACAAATCTTCAGTTTATATAGTAATTAAAAACCATAATTATGAAAATTATGCCGGAAATAAGGATAAAACTAATGTGTAAAAAAAGCAGAGAACACAGTGTGTATACAACTGCAACTCTATATAAACAATTATGGATTTAGGACAATAAAAATTCTGCAACTATATGCCAAAGGTGCAAACCCAACTCAGCTCCTATCCCAATCCTACTGTACTAGAATCCTCATGTTAACAAGATCCCTGGGTGACCTATAGGCTCATCAAAATGTGAGAAGCTTTGGGCTAAAGAAATTGATAGTCAGGGGGCACCTGGGTGGCTCAGTCGGTTAAGTGTCCGACTTCGGCCTGGATCATGATCTCATGGTTCGTGAGTTCAAGCCCCACGTCGGGCTCTGTGCTGACAGCTTGGAGCCTGGAGCCTGCTTCAGATTCTGTATCTCCCTCTCTCTCTGCCTCTCCCCAAACACTCACTCGCTCTCACTCTCTCTCTCAAAAATAAATAAAAAATAAACATTAAAAAAAAAGAAATTGATAGGTTTACTTCCTGCTGATAATTTAGATTTAGCAGTTTAGGGTAGGTATAAAATGAGTAGCTAATCATTTGAGAATTATGAGCATGAAGATCACCTATGTCTCCCTTTCCTATAGTTAATACTAGGGTTTAGACAGTAATTTACCTTTTCCTCTTTTCAGAAAGGTTAGTTGGGAGTGAGTGAGTGAGTGAGTGTGTGTGTGTGTGTGTGTGTGTGTGTGTGTGTATACTTCTATATTAACAAATACTGAGGTGCAAATGGACATGTGCTGATAATGTGTGGATACCACACTTGCCTCACCCACCCTTCAGGTTCACATGTGACAGAGATGAGCATACACCTTCAGCTATCCCACCACAGCAGTGGCAAAATGAAACATTAGAATATTAAACTTATAGTCTGGAGACCTGGGTTGTAGAAACCCACTCCATTACCCAACCCCCCTGTCACCTTTTCTTTCTCTCTCTCTCTCTTTTTTTTCTTTTTTTGCCCATTATGAGTAATGATAATGAATGATTATAATGATAATGAATGATTATAATGGAGGCTAATGAATGATTTAGCCTCCAAGTTTCATTACTCTAATCTGTTAAATAGAAATAACATCATTTACCAGAGTTACTGTGAAAAACCAGATGAAATAACACATATGAGAACACCTAGAACATAAAGGTATCCAGTTAAGTCCCTAGATTTATTAATTCCTATATATATTTAAAAGTACAACATTCTCTCATTTGTGTCTTTGATCATATAGGTGCAATGGTTCATAGAATATAGTGTCATTCTACAAATAGTTGCATGTATAGAAGGAGTGTGGGGAAAAAAACCACACATCTTCTCAACTACAAACACTCTGTTCCTGCTAGAAAAATTCTGAACTGCTTGACTGTGATGACCTTATTCACATTCATCAGATGACCTACCTAACTATATTCCTTCTCAAATATGAACTGGGAAGTGATGAATGAGGTACGAAGATTGAACCAGCTCTCTGACACATCATTCTTCTTAGGTGTCCCCATTCCAAACCATTCTGCAACTTACTATCCCATCAATCTTCATAAATCACTGCTACGGTCAAATCACTTGTGGACTAAAAATTATCAATATTTTGATACATATTTTGATGATAATTTGGAATTACCAAATTTTCAATACCTGTGGAATAAAGTTCTAATAACAGGTTAAGGAAAGGAGGAATCTATCATTTACTATTGCTTACTATGTGTCATACATTATACTAGGTGACTGTCTAAAGTTCCCATTTTATGACTATGTATGCTTACTATAAAAAGCAATGTTTGATAAATAGCATGATGTCTATTATTATGAAAGTACTGTAGAGGAAGAGGCTACTTTTGGCTATGATGTGTTAAAGGTGATACATACAGACTTTGAAAAGATTTTGATAGGGGAGGATGATATGAGACTTTGGACAGGATGATGGCAAATCCAATTCCCTATCTTATGCATCCCTTTTATTGTTCCAGGAAACATACATCTGGTCACTAAATGAATACCTGTAGCGATACAGACTCCATCACAAGGCAGCTCATTTTATTATTAAACAATGATCAGCATAATCATAATAATGATAGGTAACATTTACTGAACATCAACATTTGCTGTAAATATCAGACAAAGTGCTAAATGTTTTACATGTGTTATTTCATTTAATACTCAAAACAATACTATGAGATAGTCAGCATCTCATAGGTCTTTGGGCCAGCAAATGACAGAATCAGAAAGTGAATCTAGACTACACTAATCAAAAACCACTATGCCACAATGTTGTAAATTATTTTTCCTTCATTCCATTAAGTGATGATCACAATGCATTCTAATATAAGTGAGCACTGGGTACTTGAAGGCATCTAAGCTAGACTAGAGGAGTTAAGGAGAAGTTGTGCCTGAGATGAACCCTGAAATCTGAGAAACAGGACAGGAAGGAGAACAGTATTCCAAAGCAAGGTCTGGAGTTTGTACAGCAGAATGGAAAAGCAAGAGAGCAAGGTATTTTTTAAGACCTCTAAGTAGTTCAGTATGGACAGAGAAAAAAAATGGGAAAGTGGCAAGATGTAAAGCAGGTGAGTTAGCAGATACAACTTATAAAGGCTTTGTGTGCAACGGGCAAAAGCATTCGGTTTTAATAACCTGTAAGCACTGAGGAAACAATGAAAGACTTCCACTGGGAGATAAATTTGGGACAAGTTAGAATGTTAGAGTAATTAAATGGAGTAATCATGAGGGCCCAGAGTGAGGCAGGAAGGGAAGACAGATATGAAAAAAAATGAAGAAGGAAGAACTAAGGGGATGTCTAATTGATTTAATAGGTGGGATAAAGAGCAGGGAAGAATAAAGGATAGATTCCCAGTTTTAGACATTGGTAATAGTGAATGATAATACCAGTATCTAAAACATTCAACACCAGAATAGCTACTATAAATTTTTTGTTCTTTTGCTGTGCCAAAAGCTGTCTCTCTGTAAATTTTCCCTATAAGTACTTGTTACGTTCTCTAAGGCAATGGTTTCCAGAGTACGGTTCACATACCTCAAGAAGCCTGCAAAATAATCCATTAAGGTATTAGAAGAAAACATGAGAATTTCGATTTTTAATCTCATTTTTATTAAAAATAAGAAATTAATCTTTAATTAAACCTAGGTTCACGATAGTATTGTACAGAAGATATAAGTAATAATATATCTACTAGAAGCATGCACTTATATATCTTTTTAAAATTAAAAAAATTTTTTTCCATTGTTTATTTGGTTTTGAGAGACAGAGAGCATGAGTGGGGAGGGGCAAAGGGAGAGGCAGGCACAGAATCTGAAGCAGGCTCCAGGCTCTGAGCTGTCAGCATACCTTAACCAATTGAGCCACCCAGGTGCCCCTGTCTTTTTAAAATTTAATTTTTTAAAAAATATTTTAAGTAAAAATTTCTTCACTTTCTCAGAATCCTTATACATTTTTTTTTAAATTTTTTTTTCAACGTTTATTTATTTTTTTGGGGGGACAGAGAGAGACAGAGCATGAACGGGGGAGGGGCAGAGAGAGAGGGAGACACAGAATCGGAAACAGGCTCCAGGCTCTGAGCCATCAGCCCAGAGCCCGACGCGGGGCTCGAACTCCCGGACCGCGAGATCGTGACCTGGCTGAAGTCGTACGCTTAACCGACTGCGCCACCCAGGCGCCCCGAATCCTTATACATTTAATACTGCTTATAATTTATCACAAGAATTATTTCCCAAAAATGTTACTCACAGCTGGATTGAAAGAGTGGAAAATGTGACAATGTGGTTTTTATATACCACATTACAAAACAAAAGCAGCAAAAGCTGTTGAGGTAGGTCCAGAGCCTTTAGTCACAATGGGGAAGAGGTTGAAAAGTATCTCTGAAGAAGCAGAGTATCTAATCCCCAAATCAAAAATAAAGAAAATTACTCAAAGACCACATTAAAAAATAAGCTTCAGGGGCACCAAGGTGGCTTAGTCAGTTAAGCTTCCAACTCATGATTCTGGCTCAGGTCTCATAGTTCTTGAATTTGTGCCCTGAGTCAGGCTCCATGCTCACAGTATGGAGCCTGCTTAAGATTCTCTTTCTCTCCCTCTCTCTGTGCCCCTTCCCTGCTCTTTCTCTCTCAAAATAAATAAACTTAAAAAAAATAAAGATAATAAAAAAATAAGCTTCAGAATTTTCTGAAGAAAACAAATGTATTTACAACCTTAAGGTTAGGAGTAGATTAAATAAACTTTTTTTTTTTTAATTTTTTTTTTCAACGTTTATTTATTTTTTTGGGGGGACAGAGAGAGACAGAGCATGAACGGGGGAGGGGCAGAGAGAGAGGAAGACACAGAATCGGAAACAGGCTCCAGGCTCCAAGCCATCAGCCCAGAGTCTGATGCGGGGCTCGAACTCACGGACCGTGAGATCGTGACCTGGCTGAAGTCGGACGCTTAACCGACTGCGCCACCCAGGCGCCCCATAAATAAACTTTTCTTATTTATGTCTTTTTTCTTGATACTTATTTTTAAGATTTAGAAGTATCTACTGAAGAGCAAAAGGATAATGGAGATGTAAAAGATGAATCCCTCTTAAGAGCAAAAGGGAAGCAAAAAAAAAACAAAGATTTACCTAAAAGATAAAAAATACAGATTCAAAGGGGCACACAAACTCCAATGTTTACAGCACCATTATTAACAATAGCCAAACTATGGAGAAAGCTCAAATTGACTTTCCATTGACTGATAAATGGATAAAGATATGGTACACACGTGCGCGCACACACACACACACACACACACACACACACACAGACAATGGAATATTACTCAGTCATCAAAAAACATGAAATCTTGCCATTTGCAATGACATAGATGGAGCTAGAATGTCCTATGCTAAGCAAAATAAGTCACTCAGAGAAAGACAAATACCACATGATTTCACTCATATGTGTAATTTAAGAAACAAAATAGACATGAGGAGAGGTGGGAGGAAGAGGAGAGAGAAACAAACCATAAGAGACTGTTAACAATTGAGAAAAAAATGAAGGTTGATGGAGGAAGGTGAGTGAGAGATAGACTAGATGGGTGATGGGTACTAAGGAGGAGACTTGTTATGATGAGCACTGTGTGTTGTATGTAAGTGATGAATTATTGAATTCATAAAAGCATACAATGGGTGAAGAGGTTATACCATTAAGAGTACTATCAAAGTATGTCAATGGTACAAATTCTATTGTTGCCGATGGACACAATCCATATATATCATTTTAAAACTAACAAGGGTCCTAATAAGGCAATATGATACAATAAAAACAGTTATTTATGCTATACCTACTATTTAACAGGTACAGCACTACTTTTGACATTCTTTTAGTATCCCTAAAATTATTGTTTAGGTACATAATAACCCTCTTTACAAGATGGAGACACTGAAACTCTTACCATAGTCCTTCATAATGTCACCTTAAACAAACTGACTAATGTCCCAAATTACTAAATAGCAGGACTAAATCTGGTTTCCAATTCTGTCGGACCATGCTTTAAATATTTGAAAACAGCGTGTTTCCTCTGAGAATTGCTTTTCCTGGGATCAATGTCCCCAGTTGTCCTCTGAAGGTGAGTTTCTGGACTACTCTAGTCATCTTGTACTTACATCAAGTCAATTTTAAAATGTATTACATTCTTTTTTTTTTTTTTTCAACGTTTATTTATTTTTGGGACAGAGAGAGACAGAGCATGAATGGGGGAGGGGCAGAGAGAGAGGGAGACACAGAATCGGAAACAGGCTCCAGGCTCTGAGCCATCAGCCCAGAGCCCGACGCGGGGCTCGAACTCACGGACCGCGAGATCGTGACCTGGCTGAAGTCGGACGCTTAACCGACTGCACCACCCAGGCGCCCCTAAAATGTATTACATTCTAAACACACTATTCATGAAATGGACTTGCTAGCAAAAACCTGTAAGGTCTGAGTATCATCTTCAAGGAGAGAAAATGGAATAAAATCATATTAACAATTTTTATATATATACTCAATACCATTTATACTTATCACATTCACCTTTGATGCACATGCCAACCTACCTTTCCAAAGTGACCCTATCACTTCTTCACTCAAAGGCTTTTAGTGGCTTTCTATTTCACCCAGAGAAAAAGCCTAAGCCCTTACAAAGGCCTGTAAGCCTATATCATCTGGTGCCTGTTTCTTCTGTTCCTCATCTCCTATTGTTCTCCTCCTTGCTTCCTCTATTTCAACACAAGAGCCTCTTAGATGTTCCCTGGGTATCCCAAGCATGCTTCTGCCTCACAGTCTTTGTATTTTCTTCCTTCCGCAGCCTGGATATCCTTTCCAGATATCTGATGGCGCATTCCTTCATCTCCTTCAGGCCAAATGTCATCATCTTCTGAGTGAGACATACTCTGACTGCCCTATGTAAAACTGCAACTCCAACCTCCCAATACTTTCTATGCTACTTGCCTTGCTTTGCTTTTCTTCATAGCACTTGCTACAGCTAAAATATATTTTATCCATCCACCTATTTATTGAGTGATGGTTAGATGTCTTTCTTCCTCTCCCCAGAATTAAAATTCCTTGAGGATAGGACTCTCCTATGTTTTGTCTGCTGCTGTATAATACTGCCTGGAAAAGAAGTACTTAATATTTATTAAACAAATGAATAAACTGAGAAAAGAAAGGTGTGGCCTGATTAGAAACATGGTACCAGTATAATGAATGGAAGATTTTAAATTAAACTTTGCGGGGCGCCTGGGTGGCGCAGTCGGTTAAGCGTCCGACTTCAGCCAGGTCACGATCTCGCGGTCCGTGAGTTCGAGCCCCGCGTCGGGCTCTGGGCTGATGGCTCAGAGCCTGGAGCCTGTTTCCGATTCTGTGTCTCCCTCTCTCTCTGCCCCTCCCCCGTTCATGCTCTGTCTCTCTCTGTCCCAAAAATAAATAAACGTTGAAAAAAAAAAATTTTATAAATTAAACTTTGCAATGCCTGAGTTTCTAGTCTGAGATATGATGCAGAAGCAGAAGTACTTCATAAAGCACATGAGAAATTAGCAATCTAGTGTAAACAATTTTGATCTTATAGTTAAATTATAATTTAGTAATAAAAGTGGTACTAAATTATAATTTAGTAATTCTCTGAAAGAGAATTAGTTAGAAAGGATGATTAAATAAAGAAATATGGAATGGGGCACCTGGCTGGCTCAGTTGGAAGAGCATGTGATTCTTGATCTTGGGGTCTTGAGTTTGAGCCCCATGTTGGGTGTAAAGATTACTTAAATTAATAAATGAAATTAAAAACAAAAAAAGAAAAGAAAACAATATGATTAATATCAATACCTACCTTAAAGCATTAGATAAATGCTTTAAAGTGTTTGGTAATTCATTGTTGCAATAGGAGTGGAACCTAGAGTCAAGCTCTGTTGTTTTTTAGCTGTTTTAACTCACACTAGTTATGTATCCATTTATGTCTCATTTTCTCATGTGTAAAATGGGAATTTTAACAGTAACTACTTTCATAATATTGATGTGATGATTAAATAAGACCCTATATGCTTCAGCACATATATTAAATGTTAATTTTTATTAGCACAGTATCTGACATATAAGCTCTTAATAAATATTACCTACTACTATTACCACCAAATTACAAACTTATTAGCTTATTCTGAAAGTTAATGAACCACAGGCATACCTGGTAAGACCCATAATATAAATTTTAAAAAACTATTAGAAATTAAATACCAAGTGAGAATCTAGGACATTTAAAATACATTTATTCTAATATTAAAGTACTATATGTTCTGGTACTATAATATTCATTTTAGGCTGTGTTTACAAGTCATATATAGTATAAAATTAGACTATTTAATCTTATAAGTTTAATTTATATCAATTGTTCTCAATCTTTTCTTCTCCAACATACCTGAGAGTTATGGCACACTCCCATTATGCACAGTGGCTCAGTAGAGCAGTAATTCTCCACTAAATGGGGAGAATGTGGTGGGAGGGTAGTAGGGTGGGTTGTCTTGTGTCATTAGTTCACGTAATGGAAAAATACAAAAAGAAAACTGTGATTCAGAGATAAGAAAAAAGTTAAATCTACAGAAGAACATTAAGTGTATGTCACAGATCCATTTTTTCAATTTGTATTCAAAAGGTTGGAGATACTTAAAATCTCTTACTAGTGTGTTTTCTCCATTGGAACTATTCCAGAGTCTCATTCGATTATCCGTACCAACAGTAAGGAGGTGAAGCCCATCACTTGTAAAACATAAGCCATTAACTTTCCCATTATGAGCAGTGTTTGCTGCAATGAAAAATACAATTCAGTTAATCAGTTCTTGTATTCAGGACACACGTAATGTTTCATGATACAGTTATTTAAACATATTAATATAGGACAACTCTCTGAATTGCTTAAAATATACAAGTTGATTATGTTTAAAATTATTCATCCCTGTGGATTATTTGAATACAATAAGCTATATAAATTAGAACCACAAAAATAGAGAAAAACAGGAAAACCAAAAAGGAAAATATATATTGCCAAATATAATTATATTGCCAAATATAATTTTTCTTTTTTTTTTTATTTAAAAAAAAATTTTTTTTTCAACGTTTATTTATTTTTGGGACAGAGAGAGACAGAGCATGAACGGGGGAGGGGCAGAGAGAGAGGGAGACACAGAATCGGAAACAGGCTCCAGGCTCCGAGCCATCAGCCCAGAGCCTGGCGCGGGGCTCGAACTCACGGACCGTGAGATCGTGACCTGGCTGAAGTCGGACGCTTAACCGACTGAGCCACCCAGGCGCCCCATAATTTTTCTTAAGAGAGTAAGTAAGCTGTGCTATCAAACTCAATTAAATGTATAGCCTGACATTAAAATTTTAAATTAAACACTTTTCAAATTTCTTTTATACTAATTCTATCTTTAATCTAAAAATCACTCCATGGACTATTAAAAATCAATAATACTAGTATTTACAATTAAAAATACTTTAAAAAAAATGTTTATTTTTGAGAGAGAGAGAAAGAGAGAGCGCAAACAGGGAGGGCAGAGAGAGAGAGACACAGAATCCAAAGCAGGCTCCAGGCTGTGAGCTGTCAGCACAGAGCCCAACATGGGGCTCAAACTCATGAGGGGTGAAATCATGACCTGAGCCAAAGTGGGACATTCAACTGACTGCATGACCTAGGCATCCCCGAGTTTTTTTTTTAATGTTTATTTATTTTTGAGAGAGAGAGAGAAAGAGAGAGCACGAGCAGGGGAGGAGCAGAGAGAGAGGGAGACACAGAATCCAAAGCAGGCTCCAGGCTCTGAGTTGTCAGTACACAGCCTGATGTAGGGCTTGAACTCATGAACCATGAGATCATGAACTGAGCCAAAGTCGGACGCTTAACCGATTGAGCCACCCAGGTGCCCCTAAAAAAACAAAAAACTTTAATAGGGAAAGAATACCTCTTCTAGTTTCAACCAAAATTTGCATTGCTGTCAAAATGACCAACTTTGAGAAAGCATAATTCTCAATAGCTTAATTTAATTACAAAGATTATTAAAACAATCATAAAATTGTATATAGTTCATTCTAAGATTTTTCTAGTCTGGAACTAATTCTGAATCAGAATTTTATCCCATAAAGATATTAAATTCTATCATAAAAATGCAACTGAGGCACTTTGTCACCTGGATAGCAGCTGACACATTTAACACAACTTGCACATTTTATTTTCATACAACAGTCCCAAAATGTTACTATTCCTTCAATTTACTATAGCTTCCTAAGGGGCACTGAATTTGTATTAGCTGACCTCACTGGAGGAAAAAAACAAAAGTAACTAATTCAGAAAAGTTTCTGCATTTGAAAATTTAGGAGATGAAATGTCCTGCTTCTTTGTATCTTGAAGAAAAACAATCGTGATTTAGTTATGTACATTTAGAAATTGATTTACTATGAATGACTTTTGACTTTTTCTAAATCATAAGATTTATAATTTGTCAAGAGACATTAATTAGTTTCAATTCAAAATTTTCAATATAAACATACTATCATTGGCATGTTTCTATATTGATGTATTCTTCATTACCTGATTCAACAGCTTGTGACTTTTTTCCATTATGCTGATCAAGAGTAAATAAACATCCTGATGCTCTCCTGACATCCCATAATTTTACTCTGCTGTCAGCACTAAGAAGAAATAAATGTTACACTGACATATACAGGTAGGACAGTGACTACTCTTGCACCTAACTTTTCCAGTATTATGGCACACAGAAGTCTCAGTATATCAGTGCAAATATATTTGTATATTTGGGTTGTTGTATTTTGCCTTTTCATCTAATATTCAAAGTCAATAGTAGCAAAAGGCAGTGGAAAACATAGCAAAAAAAAAAAAAAAAGGGGGGTAACCTTTTTTACATCACAAGGACTGAATTCTGCTGGTTTTTATGACCATGTTCCTCCTCCAAAACTGGACAGCTTTGAAGCTGGTTCCTTAGCAAGTTTGTTACTAAATCTTTTCTACTGTTTGTTATTCAAATGTTTTCTGACAATCAAGCAGGTAACTAATTTTACTTTTGTTTAAGAATTCATTTGGCATGAATCTGGTGTTTCCTTTTTTATGAAAAAATTAAGGTGGATAATGACAATATATTTATGTTTGGTTTCGTATACGCAAATCTATCTTTGCCACATATTCAAGAACTAAATTTAATGTCTCTTAGATATCAGACCCTTGTATTTATCTCAAGTAAGTGAAAAGAAGAAAGGCAAAATACCATGATCACACATCAATTTCAGCTTCTTTTAAAGATCTGTATTTTTTTTTTAAGTTTATTTATTTATTTTGAGAGACAGAGTTCGTAGGCAGGGGAGGGGGGAGGAGAGACAGACAGACAGACAGACAATCCCATGCAGGCTCTGCACTGTCAGTGTGGAGCCCAATACAGGACCTGAACTCACAAACTGAGAGATCATGACCTGAGCCGACATCAAGAATCGAACTCTCAACCAACTGAGTCACCCAGGTGCCCCATCAATTTCAGCTTCTAAACTACACCTAAAGAAAATATAAATTAGTTTAACTGATGCTATCATGTTCTCAAAAGAGACCTCAACAATATTCTAATCCATTGGGTTTATCCAAGCCCCTTTAATTAGAAAAAGCAACACAATGAATTTTATAGGGGTATTTGAGTGGCTCAATCAGTTAGGTATCCAACTCTTGATTTCAGTTCAGCTCATGATCTCATGGTTCATGGATCGAACCCCAAATTGGGCTCTGAGCTAATAGCACGGAGCCTGCTTGGGATTCTCTTTCTCTCTGTCTCTCAAAATAAATAAATACACTTAAAAAAAACCCTCAGTGCATTTTTAAAGCCTATTTATAACTTACAAATCTTTTTTTTTTTACATAGATACAAGGCTTAAATCTTCCTATAATCTTGATTCTTTTCACAGATCACCATCAAACCTAGCTGATTAGAATAGCAAGGAAAAAGCTAGCATTTCCCATTTTCAAAATGGTTTTCTTTCTTTCCAGCTGGAGAAGGTCTGCAATGGGATGAGTCTGAGGATTTAAGCATTTTCTGAAACAGATAAGATTTGGACATATCTGGTTCCTAACGCCGATTACTAGGTCCATTCTCATACTGATTCAAATTCCTGGTGTACTCTGAGAATTGAAAGCCTCTTTCTTAGCTTCCCTATGAGTTGAGGAAAACCAAACTAGGCATAAACAACAGAAATCCACCTTAGTATGGACCCACAACCAGCACCTAGCCCCCCACCTTCATACCTCATTAGCCAGTCTTCTTACAGCTACATCCTACACTTGTTCTACTTCAGAAAGCACAGATTTCTTTTTTTTTAATTTTCTTTTAACATTTATTTATTTTTGAGACACACACACACACACACACACACAGAGGGTGAGCAGGGGACGGGCAGAGAGAAATGGAGACACAGAATCTGAAGCAGGATCCAGGTTCCAAGCTGGGGCTTGAACTCACAAACCATGAGTTCATGATCTGATTCAAAGTCAGATGCTTAACCAACTGAGCCACCCGGGTGCCCCCAGAAAGCACAGATTTCAATATCACATTCTGCAAACTATTAACAGAAGCTTCTCCGGGGACTAAAGTGCTTGGTATAGGGTAGGCAGTTATTAAATATTAGCAAATTGAATCAACAAATAAATGTTGAATCAGATTCAAAATAATTCTGTATTAAAGGAAATGAATAGAAATGCTATTATTTTTAAATTAATAGTCTTATACTTTTGTAGAAAAAAATGACATAACACAGTTGTTTTATAGGTAATACTAGTAAATTTGCATTGCTACAGAGAGTCTCTTGTTTCCTCTGACTTAAAAGGTGAGCACCTTCAAGATAGACAGTGATGCAAAGGAAGATTTCTTATGGTGATATGACATAAAAATTCAATTATTTTAAGGACCTAATTAACAAATAAATACGCATCTCATATAAATAGTGTTCTCAAAATTCTTATCATTAATTTTGAACTTTGAAACCAAATAATTTGCATGTTACCTTGCAGTTGCCAAGATATATTCACAACGTGGCGACCAAGAAACTGCCAATATTTCTTGTCTGTGACCTGCAAATACAATCGTATGAAAAGTCCTGTAAAATACTTGAAAAATCAAAAGATACACTGTAATTTAAATATGTCTGATTTTGAAGAAAGTAAAGACTATTAAAAATAAATTGATATGATCATCACTTTTTCACATTTATAATAATCCGTTTAAATATTAACATGAAGTCTGTGGGGGCATTTCTCACACATAGTATCTTATTATAAATGGCTGGGTTTTGCATTGGAAAGGTCAGAGCAAGTGAGTATTTCTTTTTTAATACAGCTGTTAGATTAGAAAGTAAATGCATTAATAAATGATAGATCTCAAGCTCATTTACTTTTATCTACAACAAAAAAACACTGCAACAAACCACTCAAGATAAACATTCTAGAGAATAAAAATGGTTTCTAACTTTTCAGAAAGTTGTAATAGAAAAAGTTTTCTAAATTCATGATTGTAAAAAGCATTTATGTAAAAAATTTTTTCTAGAAAGCACAGGTGATAAGTTCATAGGATAACTTCAGCATTTTAATTCACTTTTGCCTAAACGAACTATTCAAACTAGGTATTTTCATCTACCTTACATTATTAGAAATTCATTATAAATGTAAAACAAATGCTATCCATCTCACCAAGTTCTCTGGATATATTATGTGCTTCTAGAGATAAATAAAAAAATATATATCTGAGTTACATCCCATCTTTTCATTGTTTAGAATCAGATGGTCTAATGCTGATAAAAGTAGGAAAAATATTTAAATTAATATATCTTAACCAAAATGATTATTATACTGCCTTTTTCTAAAATAGTTGCAATGAGGGGGAAAAAGTACCTAAATATTAGGAATATTTAGTTAGCCAGAACAATATTAAACAATGCTCTTAACACAAATGTACCAATATAAGTTTCATAAATATATATATTTTTTAAATGTAGAAATAAGACAAGGTTTTCAGCCAGACTTTCCATATCCTCTGAGCTTACCCTATGGCCATTGTTTATATAAATGTCTCCTCAATAGTTCAGTTTTATAAGAATAATGCACAGAAGGATCTTTATCTCCTTGTTGACTTTTAACAACTAGCACAAAATACATCAGTCATGTCAACCACAAAGAATACATTGTTAGTAATGTTTCTTTTTATTGAATGGTTTACTCAAAGTAGTTGTTGTTTCAAATTAAAAAAAAAATACCCTGTAAAATGTGGGAACAGGATCCAGACTTTAAGTCACAAAGTTGTACTTTGGGCCCTCTAGTACCAACTGTAAAAACAAAAACAAAAATGGTTTAAGATAATTTTATTATAAATCATCACCAAAAGGAAATAAGAAACTACCGTAATGAATCATGACATTTTCACTGCATCCATGTAGAAATCTAAAAAAAGTATGCGAAAGATATACTTCAAATCATTTTTAATGCTTATAATTAGAAAATTTAATTGCAGTTATACCTTAGTACAAGGAGAACCCTATTATTGTGTTATTTTTTAACATTTAATTTTGAAGTAATTATAGATTCAAGGGAAGTTGCAAAGATAGTACAGAAAGACCCTGTGTACCTATCACCCTTGTTGTTCCAATGGTTGTTATACGAGGTAAAACTATACTACAGTATCAAAACCAGGAAATTTGTATTGCTGCAATGTGTATGTATGTATAATCCTAGGCTATTGTATAATATCAAGTTATTTTTTTAATACCTTAGTTTTTCCATAGTAATGATATGCTTCCAATCAGAAACTCTGGACACAGACTGAGTGGACCTCAAAGACAAGTTAGTGTCCAACTGTTCTTCACAGATGAAACAGCTAACTGGCATCTTGAGGTGAAGATGTTCATGCAATGCCACACAAATAACAGAATCACAGGGACCTGGTATCTGATACCAGAAAAACATTTTTTCTTTCTCACACATGAGAATTCTTGTTGCATGTGCTTTCATAAAAATTGAAGTTTAATTTTAATAACAGTCTTAGAGTAAAGGAATAATTTCCATTTTTGCACTGTGTTGAATTTAAAAAGTTGCCAAAATTTGGTCATGTACAATCTTTGAAGCTTTGGTGGGTGAAAAGTAACTCCATAGGGAATAGAAATGTGCTTTCTTAATCTTTGAATCCTAGCCACTAGCACAGTGCCCAACTTACACAATAACTGTAAAACTGAATGTAAAAATGGCATATACTTAAGCTTTTTTCTTTTTTTAAAGAACTGTGATATTCACCTGGGTTAAAATGTCAAATCAGAAGTAGGTATTAAAAGGGAGCAAGTTTCAATACGTTGAAAAGCAAAAAAGGACAGGTACAAACCTGCTACCAAACAGTGCTTGGTGGCAACTGGAGACATATGATGACTATAAACTGTTTCTTCAAAATTAAATATATCTGCAGTCTGATAATCAAAAGACATTTAAAAAGTGTAAGTTTCTAATTATAATCACAAAAGCAGTTAACTTTCTATTTACTTATTCCCAGATTATCAGTAATTTTTAAATGACTGTTAGCAATTTATTTGACTTAAAACATAAGAATTTTTTAAGTAAAAAACCTATTAATTTAATTTAATTTAATTTTATTATTATTCTTTTTAATGTTTATTTATTTTTGAGACACAGAGAGACACAGCATGAGCAGGGAAGGGGCAGAGAGAGAGGGAGACACAGAATGTGAAGCAGGCTCCAGGCTCTGAGCTGTCAGCACGGAGCCCGACGCGGGGCTTGAACTCACGAACTGTGAGATCATGACCTGAGCCGAAGTCAGACGCTTAACCGACTGAGCCACCCAGGCGCCCCAAAACCTCTTAATTTTAAATCCTTTGTTATTTATAACACTCTTGTCCCTTTAGTGAGAAAAATACTTTTTTGCTAATAAATTCCAGACATTACGAAGACACAACCAATGGCTCACCATCTTCTCCACTCCATTCAGGGATTCTTCTCCACTCTATTCAGGGAAACTTCATAATATGTACACAGGTCATCTAGCCAGTATTCTGCCTCTCAGTCCCACACCCCAGACACCCTCATCACCTAGATTTGTTCTTCCTTTGAAATCATACATTTCATGTATGTTACGCGTGACCACAATCTTCCATCATTTTCAGCTTTATTTTTCCCAACTACTTCTAAGACACCGAAATAAAACCCAGAACTCCTATCAGTTCCTCTTGACTTTGCTTTTTTTCCCCTTCTTTAGCTTGGATTCCAAGGTTCAATTCTTCAACTGCCAATATCTTCAACTTCAAACCTGGATGACTCCAAATGTTTGCCTTCTCTGAACCTATATCCAGGACAATCTACACCAGAGGTCAGCAAACTTCTGTAATCAGCAGACTGTAGTATATATTTTAGGGTTTAAGAACTACTACTCATTTCTGTCACTGTAGTGTCAAAGCGGCCACAGACAACAAATATGTGTTGCAATAATGCTTTATTTTACAAAAAGAGGCCATGAGCCCAGATCTGGCCTATGGGCTACTTAGTAAGCTGACCTCTGCTCTACCCAAGAGAAAAGAATCTTTCAGTATGGCAAACTGGCATCACTATAAAAGATCATTCATCTCAACTGGGCTTTCAGCATTGACTGCCAGTCCTATCATATTATAATACTATTCCCTGCAATATTCATAGCTCTTTCAAACTTCTCCATTCTCCACAAACATGGCCACTCGATCGACTGTAACCAGCAATCTGACCTTTTATTACAAAGAGAAAACAGGAAGTCATTCAATGAGAATTCTCTTAGTGTCTTATCAACAAACCTACAAACACATTTGCTTCCATCTATCCTTTTTCCTTCTTCATTCCTGTTATCATGGAAAAATCATCCTTTCTTATATTTAAAGTTACTATCCCCACCTGTGCTTAGATCCCCCTCACCGCTGTCAGAAATCTCGCTCTATACATAATATCCTCTATCTCCAAGATATCTATAAACTCTCCCTTCCTACTGGCTCATTCTCATCAGCATTTTAAAATATTCATGATTTGGGGTGCTTGGGTGGCTCAGGCAGTTAAGTGTCCAATTTCGGCTCAGGTCATGATCTCATGGTTAGTGAGTTTGAACCCCACATCGGGCTCTGTGCTGACAGCTTAGAGCCTGGAGCCTGCTTCAGATTCTGTGTCTCCCTCTCTCTCTCTCTGCCCTTTACCTGCTCGTACTCTGTCTCTTTCTCTCAAAAACAAATTAAAATATTTTAAAATAAATAAATAAAAATGTTCATGATTCTTTTTTTATATATATAAAATGTTTAAATGTTTATTTTTGGGAGACAGAGAGGGAGAGAGAAGAAGGGAGGGAAAGAGCGGAGGAGGGGCACAGAGAGAGGGGTCACGGAGGAACGGAAGCAGGCTCCATGCTGACAGCAGAGAGCCCAATGCAGGGCTTGAACTCACAAACTAATCGATCACGACCTGAGCTGAAGTACGATGTTCAACTAATCGAGCCACCCAGGCGCCCCCATGATTCTTTCATCTTAAGAGTAAAACAAAAACCTTTCATTCTATATTCCTCCTAATTAATCTTTCTTCTTCAAATCCAAATTTTGGCCATCTTTGACTTCCTATCTCCCACATATTTCTCAACTCAGCACAATCTTATTTTTATCTATACTACTCCAATTCACACTACTCTTCCAGTATCACTGATACCTGCTGTCATCAAGCATAGTCTTCACCTTACCTAACCTGTTGGTATTACGAAACACAGCTGGATACTGCATTTTCCTTAAAACAATCTCTTCTGCAGGCTTCCATGATACAACATACTCCTGATTTTCCTCTTACACTCTCTGGCCACTCCTCTTCATTGTCTTTTGCAGGCTTTTTTTTGTTCCTTTTCCTGTCTTATTAATCTTGTCTTCCTCATGGTTTTGTTCTATGTATTCTTCTCTTCAACTGCCACTTATATGGTATTTTCAGTGCAGACTACCTTCCTAAATAGCAGGAATCTATTTAGGATTATTTTCATTTGGATTTCCTGTGAATCCTTCAAATTTAACAAATCTAAAATTTAACTCAACACCCACCTAAACCTTTCTTTATCTTAGTAAATGACAATATAATCTACCCAACTGCCCAAGTTAGTGAACTTGAGGATCATTCTTTTTTTAAATAACAGCTTTATTGAGCTATAATTGACATACCACACAATTCATTCAAAGTATGTACTTGAGCAGTCTTTAGTATATTCACAGAGTTGTGCAATCATCACCAAAATCAATTTTAGAGTATTTTTATCACCCCAAAAAGAAACCCAATTCCCATTAGCAGGCACTCCCCATTTCTCCCTACCCTCTGCTCTAGAAAACCACTAATCTACTTTCTGTCTCTATAGATTAGCCTATTTCTTGACATTTCATAGAGATGGAATTATACAATATGTGGTCTTTTGCAGTTTTTCATTTAATGTAATGTTTTCTTTTGTCTTCCTTTTTCATTTCCTTTAGCATAATGTTTTCTTTTTTCTCTTTCCATTTCATTTACCATGATGTTTTTAAGGTTCATCCACACTGCAGCATGTATCAGTACTTCACTTCTTTTTATTGCTGAATAATATTCTAGTTTATGGCTATCTGCTAATCAGTTCATGAACATTTCATTTATTTCCACTTTTTGGATATTTTGAACACAAACTCATTGTTCATGAGTTCGAGCCCTGCATTGGGCTCTGCACTAACAGCTCAGAGCCTGGACCCTGCTTCACATTCTGTGTCTGCCTTGCTCCATACCCCTCTCCTGCTTGTATTCTCTCTCTCTCTCTCTCAAAAATAAGTAAATAAACATTAAATGTTTTTAATGAATAAGATTCTTGAATATATTCAACAGTATTTATTCAACTGTTACATGTTTGAACTAGGCATTCAACTGGCATGCAAAATAAACACTGTCCCTGCCCTATTGCAAGGAGCTTCAGTTTATCAAGAAAAACAAATGATTAAACAAGAAATAACAGTAAAGTCCAAAAGGAACTATAACAATGAAAGTGTACAGTGTTTTAGCAGGGCCACATAACCTATAGAGAATTCACAGAAGTCTTTCCAGAGCCAGTGATGCTCTGGCTTTTCACTGAGATGAAAGTTGATGAATAGAAATTGGCCAAGTCCAAAGAAGGAGGATGAGACTTCTAGTCGAGGGAACAGCATGAAGAAACTCTTTCGGGTAACAGTAAACATGACATTTTAAAAACCGAAAGATGCTAAGTATGACTAGAGTGCCAAAGAACAGTGGCCAGAGATAAAGCCAGAAAGGTAGGCAGTGTATGTATCATGAGGGACTGAGGGACCTTATAAATATTAAGTAGGCTGAGGGGCGCCTGGGTGGCGCAGTCGGTTGAGCGTCCGACTTCAGCCAGGTCACGATCTCGCGGTCCGTGAGTTCGAGCCCCGCGTCGGGCTCTGGGCTGACGGCTCAGAGCCTGGAGCCTGTTTCCGATTCTGTGTCTCCCTCTCTCTCTGCCCCTCCCCCGTTCATGCTCTGTCTCTCTCTGTCCCAAAAAGAAATAAACGTTGAAAAAAAAAAAATTAAAAAAAAAAAAATATTAAGTAGGCTGAATATTTTCTAGGAAAAAGTAAGCTTTTAAAGCAATGGCAAAAAACAAAAAATGAAAACATCAAATTGGCATTTTAGATATGCTGCCAATGGTTAGAAGGTGGCCAAGAGGAGGGTAAAGAGACCAGGTAGGAAGTTGCAGTAATCCAGCACAAGTCAGCAGATCCTGGCTTGACTAGAGTAATGGCAATGGGGTAAATAGATATGAGAGGTTATTTACAGAGAATTGACAGAAATTGCAAGTTGATTAGCTATCAGGACTAGTGAAAAATCAAGAATGGCATCCAGGGAAATGCAAATAAAAACCACAATGAAATAACCATTTCGTTCGTATTAGAATTGCTGAAATCATGGCAGACAATAAGTGTTGAGTAGGATGCAGATAAACTGGAACCCTCATAAATTATGGGTGGGAATGTAAAATGTTTTGGAAAACAGTTTCTCAAGGGTTAAGCATAGACTTAGCATATGAGCCAGCAATTCCACTCTGTGGAAAACATAACTCCACACAAAACTTGCGCATTATGAACATTTATTTGTAGTGGCACTCCAGAATTTTATTCATTTTTAAAGAACATGGCTTGGATACTGACATCTGTATTTTCTGATTTATGTTCCATTATGCAAAATTCTAAGAAAACTCAGAACGAGAAAAAGTTGTACTCTATCCTAAAGTGTTATAGCGAAGACTGTAGAAAAGATATCCCTTTAAGCCATATCATATGCTCAAGCTAGAAAATACACTTATGGAAAACTCAGATGAAGTAAAGGTATGATAGATATGTAATTAGTGACAGGGACAGAGAATGTGGAGGACAGTATCACACCTTCTTTATCTTTCTTT